TTTTTTTTGCATCTGGTCTGGTTGGTCTGGTTGGCCTGGTTTGAGCTTGGTGCTGAGGCTTTAGCTTAGGATTCAGGCGAGAGTGGTTTAGGGGAGGTCCAGGGAGGCAACCACTACCACCACCACCGAAAAACAACAGTTGTTTTGACATTGCATCTTTTTTTGCATCTGGTCTGGTTGGTCTGGTTTGAGCCTCGTCCCTCAGCCTTAGCTTAGGATTCGGGCGCGAGGGGTTTAGGGGAGGCTGCAGCACGAACGTCTGGGACCACGACGACACGAAAACTGTTGTTTTTGCATTGCAGTTGTTTCTGCATTGCAGTTTTTTTTGTATCTGGTCTGGCTGGTCTGGTTGGTCTGGTTTGAGCTTCGTCTTGCAGCTTTACCTTAGGCTTCGGGCGAGAGTGGTTTAGGGGAGGTTGCAGCACGAACGCCTGGGACCACGACGACACGAAAACTGTTGTTTTTGCATTGCAGTTGTTTCTGCATTTCAGTTTTTTTGCATCTGGTCTGGCTGGTCTGGGTGGTCTGGTTGAGCCTGGTGCTGAGGCTTTAGCTTAGGATTCAGGCGAGAGTGGTTTAGGGGAGATCCGGGGAGGCAGCGACAACCATTACCACCACCACCAAAAAGCAGTTTTTGTTTGCATCTGGTTTGAGCCTGGTGCTGAGGCTTTAGCTTAGGATTCAGGCGAGAGTGGTTTAGGGGAGGTCTGGGGGGGCAGCGACAACCACTACCACCACCGAACAGCATGTTTTTTTGCATTGCAGTTTTTGTTGCACTGCAGTTTTTTTTGCATTGCAGTTTTTTTTGCATCTGGTCTGGTTGGTCTGGTTGGCCTGGTTTGAGCTTGGTGCTGAGGCTTTAGCTTAGGATTCAGGCGAGAGTGGTTTAGGGGAGGTCCAGGGAGGCAACCACTACCACCACCACCGAAAAACAACAGTTTTTTTGCATTGCAGTTTTTTTTGCATCTGGTCTGGCTGGTCTGGTTGGTCTGGTTTGAGCCTCGTCTCTCAGCCTTAGCTCAGGATTCGGGCGCGAGGGGTTTAGGGGAGGCTGCAGCACGAACGTCTGGGACCACGACGACACGAAAACTGTTGTTTTTGCATTGCAGTTGTTTCTGCATTGCAGTTTTTTTTGTATCTGGTCTGGCTGGTCTGGTTGGTCTGGTTTGAGCTTCGTCTTGCAGCTTTACCTTAGGCTTCGGGCGCGAGTGGTTTAGGGGAGGTTGCAGCACGAACGTCTGGGACCACGACGACTGGGCCTGAGACACACCTACCGCTGCAAGCGCGGTGGCGGATCTCTCGGTTGCCTCTTGGGCCGTTTTGGGGGCCTCTTGGGCCGTCTCGGGGCCGTCTGAGCCCGTCTCCATAAAAAAATATACTCCGACAGGGCTGCGACCGCGACCAGGACGGCCGCCGACGACGACCGGGAAGACGACGACCACGACGACTTCAGCTGAATCTGGCTTCCCAAAAAACTGGAACTGTCTTTATACAAAACGGATACGCCGACAGGGCTGCGACCACGACCACGACGACCACGACGAGGACAATGGTAGTTGGTCTGGCTTGTCTGGTCCAGTTGGTCTGGCTGGCCTGGTGGGTCTTGCTGGTCGAACTGGTTGGTCTGATTGGTTGGTCTGGCTGGTCCCGTTCGTCTGGCTGGTCCGGTCTGGTTGATTGGTATGGCTGGCCAGGTTGGTCTGGCTGGCCTGGTCTGGTCTGGCTGGACTGCTTGGTCTGGCTGGTTTGGTCTAGTCTGGTCTGCCTGGCCTGGTCAGCTGGTCAGGCTGGTCTGGTCTCGTTGGTTGGTCTGGTTGGTCTGGCTGGTCTGCTTGGTCTGGCTGGTCTGGTTGGTCTCGCTGGTCTTGCGCCCAGTCTGGCGATTGGTCTGGCTGGTCGGGTCTGGTTGATTGGTCTGGCTGGTCAGGTTGGTCTGGCTGGCCTGGTCTGGTCTGGCTGGACTGGTTCGTCTGGCTGGTCTGGTCTGTTCTGTCGGGCCTGGTCAGCTGGTCAGGCTGGTCTGGTCTGGTTGGTTGGTCTGGCTGGTCTGCTTGGTCGGGCTGGTCTGGTTGGTCTGTCTGGTCTGATTCGTCTGGTTGGTCTGGTTGGTCTGGTTTGTTCGCCGGGTTGGTCTGCCGCGCTTGCTCTACTGGCTGTGGTTGGTTTGGTTCGTCCTATTGATCTGGCTCGTCCGGCCCAGAGATTGCATCTGGATCCGGTCTCGGCTTGCAAGTCTCATTGGCGCTGGCGCGATGAGTCGCACTTGCCGGCTGACTTTGCGTAGAAGGGGAGGGAGGGGGAAGAGAGGAAGAGGAGGACCGCCTGACGATGTCAAAGCCTGGCGACCCTTCCGGAAGGGCCGAATCGTTGACAACAGAACGACCTCGTCGCCGTCGTCTTCGTCCTCGCCCTCGACTTCCTCGTCGTCGTCGTCGTCGTCGAATTCGTCGTCGTCGTCGACGTCGTCGTCGTCGTCGTCGTCCCTGGCGTCGCCACAGCCGTGGCTGAACCGAAAGCGCTGCTGCGTCAAGTTCCGCTGTGGCGGCACGGGGATGGGGGAGAAGGACCATCAGCAGCCATATCAGTTTTTATGCCCCAAAGCAAAGTAAGGCGCTGGGGCATAAGAACGTTGCGTCTCGAGCGGCTTAGAATAGGGAGCTCCACCGAAGGCCCCGGTGGCAGGGTCCATGCGGTTCCCCTCCCATTTCGGCACGCCCCTCACACGTTTCGTGGCCACATAGGGAGCCCCACCGAAGGCCCCAGTGGCAGGGTTCGCATGCGGTTTCCCGCCCATGTCGGCACACCCCTGACACTCTTCGTGGCCTCATAAGGAGTTCCACCGAAGGCCCCAGTGGCAGGGTTCGCATGCGGGGCCCCATCGGGAGTCCCGTCGGACGATGGATCCAGAACGCGGTATCGAAAACTGCTTATGGTTTGGGTCGTCGTCAGGCTAACTGGCCTGAGCATGCCCCCGCGAGCAGCCCGGGGCGGTCCCGGCACCCCGGCGCCGCCTCCGGCGGCGCCCCCGGGTCGCTCCGCGCCCCAGGGTTGGCGTGCCGAGACCGCCCCGGGCTGCTGTCAGCCCGCATGGGAGGGATGGGCAGCCTTCCCAAGGGCACCCCTTGCATCCTTGCCTCCTCGGCCGCACATTCGTGCATACATGCGCCGCTTCTCATTTTTTATAGATTCCCCATTTTTCTGCCATTTTTTACCCTCCGTCCTCCCTCCTCCTCTGTAGACACGAGCACGGGCTGGATCACTTCAGGCATGCGACTGTGCAGCACCACCTCCAAGAGGTATTCCGTGACATTCACTTTGCCGATGCAGAGCGCTCGTCGCCCAGACGGTTGGTTGAGTTTGCCATGATGGAAAAAGTCCTTGCCTCCTCGGCCTGTCCCTGGCGACCTTCGCTGGCCAAGCTCGTTCGAGAAACGTTCACATGGCCTTCCGAGGCCCTTGCGTCCTTACCGCGCACCCTCCTGATACCGTCAAGCCGGGCATGTCCCTCTACAGGAGGAATAATCCCAAATAGTAAGAAGTTAGTCTGGGGGCGATTGTTTGACCATTTCTGACTATTCTTGGGCTTTTTTGGGGGGCTATTTTTGATTTGTTCCTCCGAAATTCGCCTGTAGGAGGACATGCCCGACCTAATGATACGGGTTGACTGTGCCCGTGGGGCCTGTCGAGGCCATCCGGCACTGCCTGGGGAGTGCTGCAGTGGCGCGGCCCGAGGCCGTACGGGCGGGGGGGCAGCCCCAGGCCCAGTGCGCCTCCTCTCGCGGCTAGCCCTCTTCTCATCCATCCCCCCCCCGCCGCATCCTTGGATCCTTGGATTGGAGGGTTTCTCCGAAGGGCTTAGGCGACCCGTCCTTCTCCCACTCTTCCTCCTTCTTCTCCTCCTTCTCCTCCTCCTCCTCCTCCTCCTCCTCCTCCCTCCTTCTCCTCCTCATCCTCCTCCTACTCCTCCTCCTCCATCTTCTCCTCCTCCTTCTCCTCCTTCTCCTTTCTCCTCCTCCTCCTCCTCCTCCTCCTCCATCTCCTCCTCCCCCTCCTGCTCCGCCTCCTCCGCCTCCTCCTCCTCCTCGGGTCGCCTACGGCCCCGGGGGAAACCGTGCACCCTGGATCTCCGACAGGGGCTGTGTTCGGGCTCCCGGGCCATCGAGGAGGGACTTGGCGGGAGGAGTGGGCCCGGGGGAAGCGGTCGGGGGCTCAATGGCAGCGGACTGAACAAACACGTGTCGGAGGAAGCCTGGGTCACCCCCCCCCTTCTCCACCCGCAGCTATCATGCCTCCGGCCCTCATCGGCAACATCCCTCCTCTCCTCCCCCACCCTCCTCCTCGTCCTCCTCCTCCTCCTCCTCCTTCTCCTCCGCAGCCCCCTCATTCTGCCCTCCCGCGTCGTCATCCTCCCCTTCTCTTCCTCCTTCTCCTCCTCCTCCTCTTCCTCCTCCTCCTCCTCATCATCCTTGTTCTCCTCCTCCTCCTCATCCTTGTTCTCCTCCTCTTCCTCTTCCTCTTCTTCCTCCTCCTCCTCCTTCTCCTCATCGCCCTCCTCCTCTTCCTCCTCCTCCTCCTCCTATGCTCCTCCTCCTATACTCCTCCTCCTCCTCCTCCTCCTCCTCCTCCTCCTGCTCCTGCTCCTGCTCCTCCTCTTCCTCCTCCTCCTCCTCTTCCTCCTCCTCCTCGTCCTCTCTCCTCCTTCCTCCCCTCGCCCGCCCCCCCTCCTCTCCCCCCTCCTTCCCTCCTCCTTTCGCAACCACTCCTCTAGGAAGAGTCCGCAGGAGGAGGAGGAGGAGGAGGAAAAGAGGAGGAGGAGGGCGAGACGGGAGGAAGGAGTTGGCTGAGGCTGCAGAAGGAAGATGGTGGGGAGGACAGAAGGGGGGAGATGGGCGAATGGCGGGAGGATGTGGACTGAGGGGGATTGTGTCGTGACTTGGGAGGTCGCTCTTGGACCCCTCGCCCCCGGGGCCTTCGGCCTAGCAATGCCGCCGCGGCCGCAGCGGGATATTTGAGCACGTCTGCGGCCGCGACGAGGTCGTGCTGGCTCCAGGGAAGATCGACTGGCCCTACGATGTCAGGCACTCTCGAGAGGAAGAGGAGCCATGAGGAACGAGGAATTAGGGAGGGAGGAGGTGGAGGGGGATCGGGAGGGGGGGAGAGGAGGGGGTGAGGGAGGGAGCGGACACGGAGGGAGGGGGTGAGAGAAGGAGGAGAACGAGGAGGAGGAGAAGGAGGAGGAGGGGGAGGAGGAGGAGGAGGAGGAGGAGGAGGAAGAGCACGAAGATACGCGAGGAGGGAGGAAGGGAGGGAGGAAGTTGAGGGGGAGCAGGGAAAGGAGTACGTAGGATGAGGAGGACCACGGTTAAGCCAAGATGATCCAGTCACGATGCAATGCGCCCATACGTCCCAAGCCCGCTCTTCCCTCCAGCATTCCCTACACATGTGTTGTTCATTGCGCGAATCGTCACGCTTGAAAAACGAGCTCTGTATGGGTCCGCAATTTGGGGTGGGGTTCCGTTGTACAGGACACCGCCCGACAAGGTGGGGCATACAAGTTTAAGATTGTGTTGGGTCCGCAATTTGGGATGGGGCTCCGTTGTAAAGGACACCGCCCGACAAGGTGGGGCATACAAGTTTAAGATTGGGTACTACAGTTCAAGTCCACGCCTTGCTTTGGAACGGACCCCCTGTATCGGTGTAGATGTTGCGCAGGGTGACATTGCTTGCCGTGGTATACAAGGCGATCTCCTGTGAGAGCTCCGTTTTGGAAAGGGGCCGACCCCAAATTGTGTAAATGTTCCACGATGTCTCGCTTGTGATAGCGGTGTTTACCTTCGCTTTGGCTGGTTACGTCTTCCGGGTCGGAGGCCCCATTTCTCACGCGCCGAGGCGAGACGGGGCGAGATAAGGAGACGACAGCTCCATCGACCGTTGCCCAGTGAGCTGCGCCAGACCTCGGTCACGCCCACCCACATGTCGACGCGAGTCGAAGGGACCCTAGCCCCGCGCGTTTCTGAAAGGTTGTTATGCTTGAAGTGATCCACAAGGGTGCCCACTACACGTCACAATGATGGTCTTGGTATCTTCCGAGTCTGGGGCAGATGCCGTCCTTGCGGGGAGCTTTCCTGGGCGGCTCCTGCTGGCGCAGAGCCCGGCCTTTTGGTGGGGGGGGGCAGGAGTTGGCCCCCCTAGTGTCGGCCACGTTGACAGGACAGCCGCGGCAGGCTTGTCGATGACCGGCGTAAAGCTGGTGTATGCGAGGGCGACGTTACAGTCCCCCTCCCTCGTACCCCGCGCTCGCCGTGCAGCCGCTTGATTTGGCGTCAAGCCAACCCACACCAACCCTGGCTGCCCTGTGGGTCTGAGGGGCAGTCGCTCCAGGTTCGGTCCGGCCGGGTCGCAGGTATACATTCTCGGTTATTGGTCCAGGGTGGTTTTCGTGACCGTGTCCGGCGGTCTGTTGCCGAGGGTCTCAGAATCTCGCAGCTGCCTTCGGGTCCATTTGGGCTCGGTTGCGGCCTGCGGCCTTCGCCGCGTTTCTGCTTCGGCTAATCGCGGGAGTTGGCGCTTGTGTTCACCGATGGAGTGGCCCGTCGCAGAGCCCATGCCCATTGTATAACCGTCCCGCCTCTACCAGCGTATTGGGCGGGTGTGGCGGGGTGTAAGCTCCATTGAAAGATCGAAAGGTTGAACCTGGATCTCGTGACAAGGCTTTCGAGGGGGGCCGTTTATCCCTGCTATCTTTGCTTCTTGCCCAGGTGTTGCACTGTATAGATAATTCTATGATCGCCCCATGTAGGTTGTCGCGTTTGTAATGAGGACGTCCCCGGCGATAGCCCACGTTGAAAACGGGCCTGCCTCTATCCGTCTGATTGGTGGATCAACGACGAATGTGTGCGGCGCTCTTGCGAGAGCCACTTTTTCAAGACCACCGGCCCTGCATCCGTGAATTGTTGCAATTGTTGAGTTTCGGGATGGTAAAGTGTAAGAAGGTGCCAAGCGAATCGTTCAGCCTGTGTACTCGTGTGGTTGCGCGACCTGTCTGTCGGGTGGAGGGGAAGAAAAGAAGGCGGAGGAAAAGGAGGGGGAGAAGGATGAGGAGGAGGTGGAGGAGGTGGAGGAGGAGGAGGAGGAGAAGTCGGAGGGGTCGGAGGCGGGAGAGGGAGGGGGGGAGGAGGAGGGGGTTCAGCACTAGGAGGAGGGAGAGGAGGAGGAGGAGGAGGAGGAGGAGGAGGAGGAGAAGGAGGAGGAGGAGGGGGAGTGGCCTTAGGAGGAGGAGGGGGAGGAAAAGGAGGATTGTAAACCCAAGAGCCATCAACGATATTGAAATACACCCTCCCTCCAAGCTCCCCCCTCATAGGCCCCTACAACGGTTCATTTCCATTGAGGGATCTGCTTCGTTGGAAGAACCGTGTGAAAACCCAGAAGCATGGCAAAATATTGTTCTCGGGATTCCAACGCCACGGGTCAACCTGACTCTTGCATCTTGACGTTCCTGGACCGTGCCAGAACGCCACTCTTTGTGATTTCAACGCCGCGGATCAACGTAATTGATGCATCCGCAAAATCCAGAATCCTTCCAAACTCCATTTCTGGTACGTTGATCGTGGGAATTCGTGAAGCTCTTGAAATCGTATGAACGAATGTGCGTGGCGCAGCGGCGAGAGCCACATTTTGAAACGGAAGCGCCCTCAATCCGTGAAATTCTTGCAATTTGTTTAGAACGAATGTGCGCGGCGCGTAAGCGAAAACCGTATCATTTTAAAAAGGGATCTCTTCAATCCGTGCAACTCTTGCCTTTTTTAGTTATATAAGAAACGTAAATGCGCGGCGCTAAGGCGAGAGCCACATATTGACAACAGTTTCTCCTCAATCCGTGCATCTCTTGCAAATGTTCGAAACGAATGTGCGCGGCGCTGAGACGAGAGCCACATTTTGAAAACCACCCGTCCTCCATTTGCGAAATTTTTGCCAATTGAAAGCTTTAGAGTCATCAGTGGTGAGGAAGCCTCAAGCGAAACGCCCGGCCCACCCTGAAAACTGGCCTCGGGGTGCGACAGGGAAAAGTTTCTAATAAGAAAAAGGAGTGGAGGAGGAGGAGGAGGAGGAGGAGGAGGAGGGGGAGGAGGAGGAGGAGAAGGAGTCGAGATACATCGGCCATGCTTGCCAGGGTAGTGGCTGACGAGCAGGACATCAGGGGCGTGCTCGTCAGGGAGATTCTGAAGATGCGCCTCTAGCCGTCGTTCCTCTCTTAGGCCGGGAGGAGCTTCGGACGTCTGCGAACGGCTGCTGGCCGTCGGAGCTCGACCCGCCGTGCACGCCCCTCCGGGCGCGCGAAGCGGTGCGGCGGGCGGCGCCGCTGGCGCCACCAGAGCTCTTTCTGAGCCTCGTTGGCGCCGCCAAAGTTCTTTCTGAGCCCGCTCTGCGCCAGAACCAGGTGGGCCGCTGACTGAGCAGCAGCCGAGCAGCAGGAGGAGGAGGAGGAGGAGGCGGAGGAGGAGGAGGCGGAGGAGGAGGAGGAGGAGGAGTAATACGACGAGGAGGACGATGAGGAGGAGGAGATGGAGGAGGTGGAGGAGGAGGAGGTGGAGGAGGCGGAGGAGGAAGGGAAAGGGGAGTAATCTTAGGAGGAGGAAGAGGAAGAGGAGGAGAGGAGGAGGAGGAGGAGGAGGAGGAGGAGGAGGAGGGACAGGAGGACAAGGAGGAGGAGGAAGAGGAGGAGGAGGAGGCGGAGGAGCAGGGAGAGGAGGAGGAGGAGGAGGAGGAGGAGGAGAAGGAGGAGGCGGGAAGCAACCGAGCGTGCTCAGCTCCGCCAAGGGGGCGCGGGAGGAGGGAGCTCCCTCGGCCGCCGATCGAGCCCGATCTTGCGTCCGTTCTGAGGCCGAGCGGACTCAGGCGCCGAACAGGCTCGGGAGTGATCCCCGGGGTTGCTCGGAGGTGGGCCCGCCGTCCCCGCGGATGTAGAAGCCCACCGCGGGCGTGCACGGAGCCCAGAGCTGTGCGTGTCTCTCTGGCCCTCTCGGGCCTCTTCCTCTTACCCGCGCCTTTTTTTTTGCACGGCACAAACACCGATGTTCGGAGCTCCGCGCGGGATCGGCGCTGAGCCCCCTGGCGGCGCCCGCGGCGCTGCCCCTGTCGCGCTCCGCGCGCCAGGCAGGGGGTGCCGGTTCTGGTATAAGAAATCCGCGCGGACCTCCGAAAGTGTTTGTTCAGCAGTTGGTTATGGTACCCTCGCCCTCGTTTTTTTCGTCTCGGCGTGCACGCCGTGCTGGCCGGCCGCGCCCGCTCGTGTCCCCAGGGAGCGCCGGCCACGCAAGAGTTGCAGACAGGAGTTGATTATGTGTGCCTATGTATATGTGTATATATAAATATGTGTAACTATACGCGCGTGTATTCATCTTTTTTTGTAGCATTTCTACTTTTATTCTTAAGTGTATTAATTTCACCATCGTCCTCCTTTTAATCACTATTCCCCAAACAGTGCTTGCAAGTATTGGTTCGTACTCGGTCGTCGCCGTCGCCATCGACGTCGCCGCCGCTCGGGGCGAGTGGCGGCTTCTGCGGGCGGCGCAGCCCGTCGCCGCCGCCGCCGTCGCCGTCGCCGCCGCTCGGGGCGAATGGCGGTTTTGCAGGCGGTGCCGCCCGTCGCCGCCGTCGCCGTCGCCGTCGCCGCCGCCCCGTGCCGCCCGTCGCCGCCGTCGCCGTCGCCGCCGCTCGGGGCGAGTGGCCTTTTTATGGTCGGTGCCCCCCGTTACCGCCGACGCCGTCGCATAGACTGCACCACGTAGATTCTGTTCTCTTGAAAGAAATAAGATTCTACCCCCGTCATTCCCGCGGGGTTATCCGCCACGCGTTCCGATTGGAAAATCATATATGGTCGTGACCTTTAGTTGAACTCATACCCTCCCAGGCCAGGTGGTATCGACCCCCCCCCGCCATCCTCTGCAACAAGGTCTATGCGCGCACACTCGTTTGTCAAAACGCAAGTTTCCAAGCATCCCTTGCAGATCAT